GAGACATAACCAGCCGTTTTAAATTCCTTGATTATAGTTATGAGATAATACCTTTGAATTATTTTTTTAAAGACTTTACTAAGCCCCTACCAAGCCCTAAAATATTTTTGGACAACTTTGCGCGAGCGTGTCGTTCCTGTCCTCTGATATAAACAGGGTAGCTAGCCAATTAGCGCGCGTTTAAAATTTTTTAACATATATAAATGTTATCAACAATCACGGCAGCATTTACCGAATGAGAAAAAGGACTATTGTAMGCGTCATTTAAATGTAAAAACAAGAACGGAGTTTTTTTTAATRTCCCTTTTCGTTTGTCTAGTGATTTCTTTGTTTAGAATAAAGAACTGATTTATTAAACTAACTGGTTGACTTACTTTACAGCTGATTCCAAAACACTGATCATCCTGTTGGGAGTTGGCGTGTTCCTCGTTGTCCTTGTGATTATTMTTCTCATCTTTCTGATCGTCAAACTACGCAAAAGTAAAGCAAGCTTAGTACAGTAGATATTATATCTATTTTGGGAAACCAGGACCGGTTGTACGAAGGGTGGATAGCGCTATCCGGCGGATAAATCCTTATCCASTGGATAATTCGATGCTGTTATCCAATAAATTTATCCACTGAATAAGATTTATCCGTCGGATAGCGCTATCCAGGCTTCGTACAACAGGGYCCAGGATATTGTGCCCTTCTAAGGCGCCGCCTGAAATGAAATGTTAGGTTTAAAAGTGTTAATAATAAAAAAATGGTGCCGCCTTTTATCGTTCTCTCGTCTCGGGAGATCCATCCTCCAACCCGTTACCACAGGAAGCCAGCGGCAGATTCAGGAATTTTAGTAAGGGTTGGCAATAGACCATTTCACAGATCACGCGGCTCAACCTCAGCCTCGTCAGCGTATAATATATTCTTTAGAAATTGCCTACAACCTGTGAAATTTTAARKGTTTCAATTGTTTGTTCATGTGTAAATTCATTTCATCACTGCGGACTGTAGTCAAATTCTAAAGAATAATTGCACGCTGACGAGGCTGAGGTTGAGCAACAGGATCCGTGAAATGGCCTATTACAATGGTTTTACCAGGAATTCGAGAAAAAGGGAGGGCGATTGTTACTAAAGATATACTGAGAAATTTGAGCAAAAGGGGGGTGACTAGTCACCCCTTTTATTACCCCCCTCCCCCCTTAGATCCGCCACGGGAAGCAAGGTTACTCGCCTCTCGTCAAAGTTGTTTGTTAGTTTAAATGTCTCCTGTGCTTCGAGGGATTTAAAAAAAATAAAGTTAAGAGTAAAGTAGTCTCACCCCTCCCCCCCTCTCATTTTTTCGTGATCTTCTAGATCTTATTTCTTATTCTTTCGTTTTTACAGACCATTAAGGATGATCGTCACTGATTGACAGAACGAATCAAGGCACCCTGCACATTAACAATGGGATACCTGTGTCAATTCAAAAATCGTCGACCAACTAAAGCCCTTTCRGTCCAACCGCGTAGGCTTGAGCCGGTCGAGGACAACGTTTTTTTAAATTGACTGTATGTAAGTCTCAAAGCAATAACAGCACACAGCACGATGCACCTTTCGCTTTAAAATACCATACGCTTGCACGGAAATCATAACATTGCAATGAGTTTGCAATCATTTCCGTGCCCATAAYATGACAAAAGAGATGGCGGCCATGTTGGATAATATTTCAAAACGAGCATCTTATAAGACAGGAATGATGGAACACTTTACCCATAGGAGGAAATTCATTTTTCAAATGAAAGGATTCTAAAGTTTTTGCCCTTCAACTTTGCTCGTTCTTTCGTGTCTTATTTTAACCCCACAGACAATATTTAGATATTTTTAGTCTCAAAASCCATTTATACAATTAAAGGCAGAACACAGGCGACACAGGCACCTTGCACTGCACATACTATTTTAGGTCACCGTTGGGTCGGTCAAGCCTGGGCTAAGTAAGGTGAACCGTTGAGCCGTACCGTGGCCCGTCAACTGCTACTATGGATTTCATTGAAGTGTGGCACGCATTAAAAAATTCGTCTGCGAATTTGCCTACGAGACGCTGTGACTCTGCTGTGATTTTGTCTGCATTCCTTTCTCGTGAAATGCACAATGAACATCAGCGCACTTGGTCGTGTTTACAGTAGGGGAAGAGCATAAGTAGAGATTTGAGTTCTCTCGTTGTAGATGAGATTGTTGAAAGTGGTGGGGACATCATAACATGATTCGTTCCTGGAAAATTCGCAGAAATTGGTCGAAAACTTCCCCCGCCTCCATACTCAACTTTGAACTCGTACCTTCTACTCGCCGCCATAATTTCGAATTGAACGTTGCACGGGAATAGCCGAGAAAGGAATGCAGACAAAATCACACCTCCGAGTGGGGGGAGTCACAGCGTCTCGTAGGCAAATTCGCAGACGAATTTTTTAATGCGTGCCACACTTCAATGAAATCCGTAGTATTAGCTATTCCGAGGTCGAGGGAAAAAATGGGTCGAGTTGGCATTACAGAGCATTGTGGGACTGAAAATCATGATGACGTCTGTTTTGTCCCCTAAAACGATCCCAAGTCTTACCCAACCCCGGAATGGCTAACTGCAATATCATCATATTCAAAATATTACGTATCGTAAACGCAATTTGTCATTCAAATAATACATTAAGAAACGATTCAGCTTTAATAAAGCAATAAAAAACGTTATGTTATAACGACTGAATGAAGATAGTCGTGGCTTTGTGGCTAAAAGATTGTAATGATATACTTTCGAGGGTAAAGACACAGGTAATGGAGAGGTTAGACTATGGTAAAGGTAAAGGAATTAACGTCGGTGTTCCTTCAGCCATTAGGYAATTTTTTTCTTTAAAAAAAAAATCTACAGAGCTTTCGCTGTTGTATCACAGCGTGGGACAATCACGACAGAGCTAGGCTCCAAACTAGGTGAAAGCCCAAAGATCGAAATAGAATTTAGAAGTTGATTCTTGAGGAGGGAGGAGAACCAGAGAACCCGGAGAAAAACCCTCGAAGCACAGGAAAGCACCAATAAACAACTCTACTCACATACAACATCGAGACCTTGGCAGGACTCGAACTCGGGCCGCATTGGTGAAAGGCGGCGCATTAGCAGCGCACGCCACCGGTGCTTCTTAAGAAAATAGATGCTTTTCATTGATGATTTTCATTATACACTCAAAGACGGTAAAATCAATAAAGTACATGCTCAGTATACATCTTATAAGCCGCTGCAAGATCGTGTAGTGCATCTACTCATGATTTAAATTCTCTTTCTAGAACATTCTTATTTTTATTGCTTGATTAACCAGGACCATACTTCCAGACATCGAGTGTTTAAGCCGCGTTGTTAGTAGCTCGAGACAGTCACGGTTATGCTGGAGATTTCATCAACAGCGCGGTCAATACTCCATTTTAGGCGCAATCTTGTGAAAATAAATATCAGAATTTATGTCTAGTGAACTATTTTCTTATAGTATCCGTCATAATACTTTGACGGGAAGCATTTTAAAAATATAAAATTTGGGTACATTGAAGTGTCATTTGATACAAAAATCGGTCCCGCATGGACCAAACAAACAATCCTATAAAATTAACCAATCAACAAGACCAAAGTTTGCTGTTCAGAGTTGCATGACGTGGCTTCAAACGTAGGTCTACTGCTATTCTGAATAATTTGCAAACTATCGGAATTTCTACGGCTTTTTGTGCAYGTGAAATTGGATAAAAAAAAGTGTGTGTGTGTTTAGAGGAGGGGGGGGGGGTGTAATCTACAGAGCCAAAATGAGTGGCAAACGAGAGGCGTTCATTCAACATGGCGTGTTGACTGTCTTCTACAATGGTACCTCTACTTGGAGGGCCCTCTATTAAGCGGACACCTCTATTAAGCGGACGCGGACACTATCAAAATAAGTTGCGTTTTCAAGTGGAATATTCACCGCATACGTGTGATGAAAGATGGCTATAAATATCAGTAAAGAAAAAAAAGCCGTTTTCAAAACAAGATATCCGGATACGTGTGGAAGGAGCTTTGAGAATCTCAGAAGGCTCTATATTCAAAAAAGTTCCAGAGTATCAATAGAAATAAAACTTAGGGGACTTATTACAAATACTTTTTATTCAAAATGTTTATTGAGCCATTTTTCGAATAAATTTTAAAACGCTTAAAATTAAGATTGAAATCATGAGAAAAATGAACAATCCATCTCATAATTGCGAACAAGCTAATTCCTCTACGCAGCCGTTCTTATGTCGTTACGCAACGCTCACTCTACTATAAAGCTGCTGCGTTGAAGACCAGTTCAATTAACCTTTAGGGCATTTAAGAAAAAGCGCACTAATTATTGTGGTTGTGGGAGCTTATTTGGCGGTAATCTGCAGGTTATTCACGCGGATGACATATTAAGATGTGCCAGTATTAGCGTGGGAAAACTTAACGATGCACAATACTTACTCTGTTCGATTTTCTTTATTTTGTTTTCCTCTTATTTATATATTTATCTAAGGATATAACTAGCTAAAAACTAGTGTGAGCTGCGTCGGTGTTTCTAATGAAACAGTAATGATGAAAAGGTAAATTATACACCGTGAAAAGATG